TTTGCTGCAGTGTCTTAAACATTATTACAACTGAGTCCTCATTTCTGTGGGCAGGTGGTGACTTGGATCTCTGCAGGCGTGAATTGTTTTGGGCAGCATCTGAAAAGAAAGGAACACGGTCTCGGGCCACTACATGGGGTCCAAACACATAACCCTGTCAAGCGGCACACACACTCGAAGGTCCAGTATTATTACGTAGGTTAGGGTCATTTTGCCAACGCTGGTACCTAGGGAATTTAGGAACACCGTGGCCTAACTCTGGGGGTCCCTTAATCCTCACAATGGGATTAGCTCATGGATCATGAAGTATTGCAATGGGGCTTCGCACCAACCTATTTTAGGGCCTCCCTGGGAATATGCCTTGGCCAGTAAGGCTAATGCCTCCTTTGAAGAAGTCCTATTATTTATATGCATGTTAACCTTTTCCTTCAAATGGGGAAGAGAGTTATTGATCAACAAACTAATTTATGGTGGCTCATTTGTTTTCTCTTTTATGTGACTGTGCCACGCTGCACTTAACCGCAGGTGAAATTGGTGTGGGGACTTAATAAGTTTCTGCTTTAGGTTAGACAGGATGGCCACTCCAGCTTGCCCTGGATGCTGTTTATGTTTTAATAGGGCTACTGTGTCTTTAAAAGATCTCTTTCCTACCCTAAACTCAGGTGGCAAAGTACTTTATAATGCTCGATTCACTGTGAGTTGTAAAATTTTAACCCAATCTTTCCTTGGTAAGCCAAACACTTTTTCTGTTTCTTGTACACATTGTGCATGCATTGCAACCGAAGAATCCTCCATCATTCCTACTTGCTTAGCTACCAGATCTAGGGTCTTAATATTTGTAACAACTGGTACAGGGGAATTAGAATTAGAATCTGAGGATTTTCTTTCCAGATCGGGATCTGGGCTTTTATTTGAGCTTGAATTTATAATTTTTATGTTTTGACTTCTTCTACCCAAATTTACATTTTTCTTATTAGAGCTATTAGAACTTTTCTCTGGAAATAGTCCTGGATGAGCAGGGTAACTTTCCATAAAACCTTTACGTCTTACACTTAAGGCATTTCCACACTGACGCGGGACATTTTTCAGTCCATTAAGATCTGGTGCAATAGGGTGCTTTAACGGTACACCAGGTGATACCAGCATATACCAAGGGGGTGTAGAGGGTCCACGAAATTTTAGGGACCTAGGCAATGTTGATGATTGCCCAAATGCCAATAAGTGTTCACCCAAAGGGACTGAGTCTTCTGATTTATATGGTGCCAATGTAACATTGGGTGGAGGAGTAGGAATTGCATTCCTTGGTTGTTTTATCTCTCTCTGTTGTAACCTAGAGATTACTACATCCCAGGCACTAGCTACTTGTGTTACTTGTGACACTGCATTTTTTAGCCCCTGAACAATTACAGTTTTTAAAGGCACTTCCTCTTTACTATCAGGGGCGCACACAAACCGAGGAGAGGATATCCTCTTCCCCTTTGCTCATTTTATTCTTTACATCGCTAGTTGCCTCCTCTAGGATGACACTTACTTTCACCTTCTGTGATGCCACCCTGGGTCTTCCTTTTCCTATCTGCAGACTGCTAGTAGCTTCTGCACTGCTAACTTCCTCTTTTCACTCTCCCTGTGGCTCCGGAGATTTAATCTCCAACTTCGCTTCTAAAGGCACTGTATTAGCCTGAACTAACTATTTCACCCTACTTCTAGTAATTGACCCTGCAGGTTTCTCTATCTCCGTCGGTTCCACCACGCCAACAGAGATGGGAACCAATTCTTTGTTCTCCTCTAACACATCTCCTATAATCATCTCCATAAACATCATACACACCTATGGTTTTATATAAATATAATCTAGATCAAAAAGTAGCAAACTACTATCTACATCAATTTTTCACACATAAAAGTTGTCTAAAACAACAAAAGAAATTCCAAAACAAGAGCTTAATTAAAATAGAGTTACAGCTGCAAATAGACTATACATTTACAACAGTATTAAAGATTGGGCAATTAACAAAACAGGAGGGCTCCCTTAAGAGAAAGCTCCTATGTTCTAGGTTTAGAAACCCAGGTCCCAAAAGTGTTTGTATCTTCAGTCAAAGCCCAGCAGCATGTACGAGTTACCTTCTCTCCTGTGAAGGCTCCTATTAAACTCCTCTCTGTATACCTAATAATGATTCCTTCTCTATGGAGTCCCATAAGGTTCACTTGTAAGCCTTATTTTCCCTACCATCCCTTCTTTTTACTGTATCTTTTAACATCTGCTTTTATTGTAAAGATACTCAACAGAACATCACCATTATCTAACACAGGGGTTTCTCAAACAGGGGGTCACGAGGTTATTATATGGGGGGGTTGTGAGCTGTCAGCCTCACCCCAAACCCCACTTTGCATCCAGTATTTATAATGGTGTTAAATATATTAAAAAGTGTTTTTAATTTATAAGGGTGGGTCGCACTCAGAGGCTTGCTGTGTGAAAGTCATCACCAGTACAAAATTTTGAGAACCATTGACCTAACACCTTTAATGACTCCTCCCCTTTCCACCTGTGTTTATCTTTTAACTAGTTAATTTATGGCTTAGTATCAGGTTCATTCACCTAAATGTCTTCAAAATGAATTGCTTCTCTTGAACAAGAGAAACAAGAATCAACATCCAACTCCATCTTTCTTCTCTCTCTCCTTTTGAATCAGACTTACTGCTTTCACCGTGTGTATTCCTGTCATCCTTGACCATGAAATTTCTCCCTCTTCCCATATTTCCGGTGGTGTGCAAAGCTGCCTATCATCACTTCTGCAACACTGCCTGTGACATTTGTTGTTTGCAATGTTGTTGTAGCCAGGATGGTCCCAGGATATGAAACACACAAGGTGGGTGAGATAATATCTTTGACTGGACCAACTTCTGTTGGTGGAAGGGACAAGTTTATGAGCTTTACAGAGCTCTTTTTCAAGTCTGAATGCTCTTATTTCCCTCTTCAAACTAAATACAAGGTGGTGTGGGACAGACTGTTAAACATAAGGGGTTCACACATGTTGTAGGAGTTAAAATGCCGTGGATAATTAACACTTCTGCAGTCATGACAATGGAGGGTCAGTAGGTAGCTGGGTGTGTTACAAGTTGTCCTAATGGACAATAAAGCCAGAGTGTCTGTGAAGTCTATCCTTTTTAGTGTCCAGCAGAGTTATGAATTTAAGTTCCCAGGCTCATCTTTTGGAAGGTTTTGTGCAGTCTTCCTTAAAGGATGAGGACTGAGAGGTCAGATATGGAGTGATTGTTTTGGAGTATTCACCCACAGATGATGGAAAAGAGGTTGTTATTTTTTTCCCCTCTATGTGAGCAACTGAAATCCTCATAACCATGCCTTTATCACTGCTCACCTTCGCTATTTTAACTACCTTCTCTATAGCCACCTCAAGTTCCACATCACCGTACTTCAAGTCCTCCACAAACCAGCTCCAGTCTACCATACAGACCATATTTGTCTATCCCCTCCAAATTCACTACACGCACACCTGTTTCAAAACACAGGCATCTTATCTTTGTTGGTGCAGGAACCTGCTCTCTACATCTCTTGAAAATTGAAACAGCTTTCCTTGGTCTTGATACCTCATAGGCTATTTTCAAATCAGATGATACATTATTTCTCCCTTCATCACTTAAGTTCTCATCTCTAATTTTTAAATTGTATTTTGTAACCATTTAACTCCAACATATTTATTAGAGTAATAGTTTGTACAAGATACTATGCAAAAATGTCTTATGTGTAATTTTATATTTCTCAGTGCTGATGTTTTTAAGTTAATTAAAAATACTGTATTTCTACCAATAACCCAAACTTGTCCAAGTATTGCATGAATTATAAATTGAAGTGTTTTAATAATGTCATGTACATTATCAACCTGCATATCCCACAAAATGTAACACCAGCTTAAAATACAACATTCATGATTCAAAATAAGGGTCTCACCAACAATTCAAAACGTAAGATAGCCTGTCAAATTTCCAGCACGAATTTGACACTTTGGGCAAAGGGTGTGTGCTCCCACTACAAAGTATATTCGCCTAATTTATACACAGAGAAATACCTGCTCTCCCTGTAAAAGTCAGTTACACCTCATAAACATAAAATGAGTCCTCTGCCCACCATTCTAATCTCATTATAGCTACAGACTTCATTTCTCCCTCTGAGGCCACAACTCACCTGTTACCCAAGGGATAAGAGTGAGGGGGGATCGGATAGCAGCCTTCAACTACCTGAAGGGGGTTCCAAAGAGGATGGAGCTCGGCTGTTCTCCGTGGTGGCATATGACAAAACAAGAAGCAATGGTCTCAAGTTGCAGTGGGGGAGGTCTAGGTTGGATATTAGGAAAAACTATTTCACTAGGAGGGTAGTGAAGCACTGGAATGGGTTACCTAGGGAGGTGATGGAACCTCCATCCTTAGAGGTTTTTAAGGTCAGGCTTGACAAAGCCCTGGCTGGGATGATTTAGTTGGGGTTGGTCGTGCTTTGAGCAGGGGGTTGGACTAGATGACCTCCTGAGGTCCCTTCCACCACCAGTCTTCCATGATTCTATAGTCACAAGCATGTAGAAGACACGCATCCTTGCAGCGGCTGGGCGCTGCTCCTTGTACATCTACATCGCTCTAGCACTATAAACACACGCACAACAATCTCTCTTCAGGAACCAAGGCTCAAACACCCCGCGAAAACAACAGCGTCAACGCGTGCAGGACCCCCGCCCTACCCAGGGCAGCGAGCGCGCGCGCGGGACCCCCACCCCACGACAACACGCGAGCGAAGCACCCCCGCCCCCTTCGCTCATTCATTCCCTCTGCCCGCTCCGCCCCGTGAGCGGTTCCCCTCCCCGCTGCACCTGCCGGCCCCTGGCGCCACACCCCCAGGAGAGGCCGCTGGTGCCCACCAGCTTCCCATCCTCCCCTCCCGCCCGCGTTCAGTCCTTCCCACGCCGACCCCACTCGGCCCCAGCGCGGCCCCGCACCGTTGGCGATGAGCTTGGCCGACAGCTGCTTGACGAGCTCGGGGATCCGCTCCCATTGGCACTCGGAGCGGCACCGCTCGATCTCCGTCTCCAGCCGCGAGCCTGCCTTCTTCGTGGCCATGGCCGGAGTCCCCGGGGGGCGGCGGCGGCACGGGGCGCTTCCTCGGCGGCGGCTGCAGTGAGGGAGGGGGGACGTGAGGGCTGAGCGCAGGGCGCCGAACGCCGGGAGCAGCGCCCCCTGGCGGGCCGCCGCGGGGACGTGAGGCGGAGGCGGAGGCGGAGGCGGAGTCGGGCGGGGGTGGGGGGCGGCCCAGCCGCCGCGGCGCTTAGCTCTCTCCGCGGGCTGCGGGGAGGTGAAAGCGGCGGGTGGGCGGAGAGCGTTACAGCCCGCCCCGGCGGCGCTGTGCTGGTGGAGCCCCCCGCCTGCCCTCGGGCCAGGGAAATGGCAGCTGCCCGGCCACTGAGGGTCGGGCTCGAAACGTGTCCTTGCACCAGAGCCCCCTCCCCCGTCAGCCCCGCCCGCGCCGCGGCTAACGCCTCTTCCTGCCGCCCACCGCAGAGCCAACCTGACCCTTTGCTGGGCCCCGCCCCTGGCCTTAGTGCCGCCTTCTTCCCCGTGCAACACAGTAGCTGGCCTCCCCCGCCGGACGCGGTGTTGCCCAGGCTGAAGTGTCTCCCCCCGCCCCATGTCGTGACACAAACCGGCTCTGCTCCTGCTTTGCCTCTCGTTACAGCGGCGGTGCGGGAGGACCTGGAAGGCGGAGCGCGCCCTTGGGTAGAGGGCAGCAGCCGTAGAGAGACGAGTTGGGGCGCGGGGCAACTTCGCAGAGGAGCCATCGGGCCGGGGATTTGCTTAGCAGGCAGCCCCGGCCCCCGAGCAGGGAGGAGGAGGCTGCTCAGCGGTAGGAGGGAAGGGGTCTAAGAATTGAGGGCTGGGGAAGCGAGGCCAAGAACCAAAGTGAACTGATGGAAGGGGGAATACTTCAGCTGATCAAATGGAAAAGGGGGTGGTCTTGAAATTATGGATTACTTGGGGAAAACGGGCTAATAATAGGAAAGGCGGACAATAATTTATGATTAGAGGAATGAGTCTTGGAATTATGTAAATTGTTGGAGGAGTCTGAAATAGGAGTGGCAAGACTTCAAATCTTTCCTAGCTCCTGGCCTAAAGTCAGAACAAGATATTTACTTTTTTTGGTTCTTTAAATAAATTAAATTTTAAAACAAGATTACACTTTGAAACTAAATGTCAAGAGTTTTTTGTGTGTGTCAAAACATTAAAAACAAAATTCAGTCAAAATTATTTGACAATTTTGAGAATAGTTTGTCAACCTGAAACTACTTTTTTGGGGGCAGGGGGGAATAATTTGTCCAAAACATTTCGCCCAGCTCTAACACAGATTGATAGCTAAGTTTTAAAAAATGGCCACTGACTGTCAGGTGACTCCCTTTGTAGGGTGCTCAACGTGGACATCCTGACCTCATTTTCAGAGGTACAGAATACCTCTAGCCTTTAATTAAGTCAGTTGTAAGTGCTCAGCCTTCTGAAAATGAGAGCAAGGTCTGTGAACCTATAAATGAAGTTATCTAAACACAGTTGCTACTTCTGAAAATTTGATCTACAGTGATTTTCCAGAGGTGACACAGGAAGTCTCAGGAAGAGCTGGAAATCACACACCGATCTTTTGAGCCCCAGTACAATGCCTTAGGTCTCTCTGTGGCCAATGCAAAGTGAATCAGTGGTCTCAGTCCAATTCCACATAAATGCATCCATAACACAAAAACATCACCACCACTGTCAACAGTAACCTCCATTTAGTCTCAGCAGAAAAACCAAGCACTGAATGTGCCAGAAACCCCTTTCTGCTCCCACTCTGCCATCCTCCTCCCCCCACAACAGAGCTAAGGCCCATTAGCAATACAGTTGGGAGTTTATAATGAGACAAAGCATGATCTAATTGTAATGCACTGAGCACAGGACCTGAAGCCAGGCACTCCAGAATTTTAATCCTTGCTCTGTCAATGAGGCATTGTGTGGCCTTGGGCAAGTTATTTAACTCTTCTGTGGCTCAGGCTACATCTACACTACAGCCGGGATCGACGCTCTGAGGTCGATCCACCGGCAGTCGATTTAGTGGGTCTAGTGAAGATCCGTCAAATCAACAGCAGATCGCTCTCCAGTTGACCCCTGTACTCTACCCCCGACAAATCAATGGAAGAGTTTCTCCTGTCGACCCCCCGTGGTGTAGACCCCGCAGTAACTCAACCTAAGGTACATTGACTCCAGCACAAATCCTGCCCCTAACCAGTTCCTTTCCTTCCACTCTATGTCATATTTCTGATAATATCTGCCACTTAGTCAAAAATCAGGTACAATCATTTTAAAAGCTGTTTTGTGGCCAGCCAGAACATCTGAAGTGCTGAATAGCTCCTTTACTGTGCAGGCACCGATCCCACACACATTATATACAGGCAAAAGTCTCACTGAAGTCAGAGTAATTTTTCTAGTAAGCATGGTACTGAATGTTGACGTGTGATCCAGTGATGTTCTGGGCACCCTCAACTCCTACTGAAGCAGTATCTTTCCTGTAAACTAAGTAAAGCTGATATAGACATTACTGAAAGACAAACATATGATGCCACAACACCATTTTTACAGTCAGGTTTTTTAAGAGTCAAAATACAGTTTAAAGGAAATTTAGATCATAGTGAGAGTTAGCAGTACCATAAAATCAAGACTTTGGCAATGTGCATATTATATTAAGAGAGCCAGACCCTTGAAGATCGTAATGATGAGCACAGTTCAAATAAACCAGAAGTGAAATGAACTGTAATGACATACTTCTGAATTCAAGATTTTGCACTTAGACAAGTTTATTTTTAAAAGTAAAACAAACACATTTGTGAACATACACACAATTATGTAAATGTAAGCCCTTACTGCTTTTTTAAAGTTAAATTCATACACAAAACACTTCAAAGAAATCCAAAATGCAAGACAGCACGTTCCTACACAATCAATGTTCAACTGTTGTTGCTGTCAAGTTGATACAACTCATTCAGTACTTGCCTAATACAGGAAAAACAAACTTCAAGACTTGGAAAAGAATGCATGTCTTTACAACTTTTAGACAAGAATCTGTTTATTTCTTACAATTCTCAATAAATAATCCATAGTATATAAACCCCCTTGATTTGTATATTTCATCTTTAATGAATGGCAGTGCCAACCATCACCATAATAAAGCATTTAAGAGAAATTAACATTTCTTAGCATATATACAGCAACAGAAGGAAAACAGACTAACATTTTTCTGTCTTAATAATTCCAAAGGAACCAAAGTTCCACATTATACAATAAGTTAACACTTTTAAGTTCTAGCCCAGCTAGAATTAAACAAGCCCAACAAGGTATTGTTTACTATCATTAACTAAATGTTTGCATATAAACTGTATAATATTACACAAAGGGATATTATTTGAGTAAAAGCTATTATAATATATTAAATTTTGTAATGCTACCTAAAAATATCTAAATCCCCTTTGATCATCACTAAAATAATATTTTTTAAAAATGGCATCCTGTGAAGTTAGAATATAAAAGAAAGTGAACTTTGATGGTCAGATAACTTTTATTCATTCCCCAGAATGTCTTATGTTCTTAAAAAAAATCTTCACAGATCTAGAGAGAGAACATACAAATGAAATACAAGTCACACACTAGTAAGTGACCTCACCAGAGAGTGAGTAAATGAGCTAACCAACTAAAGTCCTTGCAAAGGGAGATAAAGATTTTCTTGAATTTGAACTACAATTAACATTTACACAAAAATCTTTCCTCCTCTTCAAAATGTAAAATATCTGCTCACAATAGAATCCTCAATCTGTAGGTTCTAGCTCACCAAATACTTCTGCTCCGTGGCGAAGCCAGGTGGAGGGAACAAGGGGAGTGATCTCAAAAAAAGGCACCACCCGCTGCGGCGCTTTTACTCACCCGGCGGCGCTTTGACTGACGGGGCGGCACTCTGGGTCTTTGTCAGCACCTCGGCGGCGGCGGGTCCTTCAGTGCCACCGAAGACACCCGGAGCTAGTGAAGGGCCTGCCGCCGAAGACCCGGAGCACCGCCGGGTGAGTAAAAATTAAAAAGGCGCCAAGAAATTTAAAAGGGGCCACTTGTGCTCAGTGGGAGAGCGGCTGCTGCCCCGCTCCACCCCTACCTACGCTACTGCAGTTCTGCTGCATGACTTACCTTCCCCATACCAATTCTCTGACATGTTTCAAAAATGTGCACTTCTAACAGCTAGCTATAGCTCATGTAAGTAGGAAGCACAGCTCAGATGTTGACAAAGTAAAACTCTTTAGAAATAGGTCCCAATAAATGAAAAATATTATTAGCTCTTTAACGACTGCCAGATAATCCAGTAAAATCTCAACTATAGCATATATTCTTTAATATTCTATTTCAAGTGGGATCTTACCCGCTGTACTCATGTCATTTTTCTTAAACTGGAGTAGCAGACACAAAAGACAGTCATACTGAGATCCTTTTCATAGCCAACCATACCAAATGGGAACAAGACTATACTAATGGTTAGGCTACAACAATGATCAGTTAATAAAAAGCATACATTAAAAGTCAACATTCCATAGTTTAGGCCCAATATTTGTCCTACAGTATCTTAAGCTTGTCATAATATGGTGGGAAATGCCCTTGAGATTCTAAATATATATTATATATATAAAAATATAAAATACACCTTCTTCAAGACATTTAGAAAAACCCAAATAGCCATTATTACTAATGGGCCAATAAAAAATGTTTCAGATTCTGCTATCTCTGCAGACACTGCTAACTCTATAGCAGTTAAATACTATTCCAGACCTATAGTCACATCATCAATAGTTTTGCTGCACTATCAAAGAACAAGATAAAAAGAGCCATCAATTTCAACACCAAAAAAACAAGCAAAAGCAGTTTTCTAAATGGAAAAGGTCAGAATTGCTAGAGATTTTATTTTCAGCTTCTAAAATGAAAGTATAAAAGAGGTTTTAATTTTAAGAAAAAAGATGAATTTACCAAAAAATTGTATTCAGAAGCATCAAACCATTTTCTTACCACATAAGCTAATGTGTGGTAAATAACATGAGGTAA